AAAACATTTTAAGGAAAATGTGATCAAAAGAACACTTATGCTTAGGTTTAGAAAAATACAGTTGTAACTTCTGGGGCACTTAATGAGAAAAGATGGCTTGTAGAATTTAAAACTCGCAGGACAAAGCAAAAGTGTTGTGAGTCAGAATATTCCCCTACAAGTTTGGACTCGGCAGTCGGACGAAAGTCATAAGAATATTCCTACATCAAGAGGAGTAGCAGGAGGAGCAATAGCAGCAGTAGCTTTTTGATGAAAACAGTTAGTCATTAACGGCTAAATATACACTTCCTTAGTTTTTATTCTACATTATGTTACCCTGTGCCAAAAGGTAATTAACTTGTTAAACCAATTCCGGTTTTCTACTGTTGTTTTTGATAATTCAGTTACGCTATTAATTCAATCAAAAATGGAAGAAAATGAATGGCATTAACAATTACATTTATCAAAAATGTATAATTATATTTAAATGAATATTCTTTTCTGTTGTAGAGTTTGTGAAGAAAAACTTTAAAAATTTGCTTAAGTTGGCTTTCATTTAGTTGATGTAATACTTGAATATCTTTTTATTAATTGTTGTGAGGGTGAATATTTCCCTACAAGTTTGGACTCGGCCGTTGGACGAAAGATATAAAAATAGTCCAACATCAAGAGGAGTAGCAGGAGAAGCAATAGCAGCAGTAGCTTTTGCTGAAAACATTTAGTCATTCACAGCTAAACATTTTCTTCCCTAGTTTCTCTTCTATATTATGTTTTCCTGAATCAAAAGGTAATAAACTTGTTAAACCAATTCAAGTTTTCTGCTATTGTTATTTGATATCTCAAGTTACAACAAAAAGAGACTGAAAAAACAGTGAATAACCTTCTTAATGAACATGTGTAAATGGATGATAGGACATGGACTGCTTAGAGCTATCAAAGATAGGAACTTGTGGAGAGCCATGACCGCCAAAGTACTGAAAGGTTAATGCATATAAAAGAAGAAAACTAGCTACTACAGATAGTCCCAGGCTGAGATTCTATTTTGAGTACCAGGTCGATGATGCTCGGAATAAATGGTTAAATCAGGAGAAAAGAGTTTTCCTTCTATAGGCAGTGAAAGATGAACAATTTCTTCAGATATGAAGAGATAACTGGGAGCAACAGAAATATAGGTCTACAGAAGGATGCTAAGAATTCTAGGGACGGATAACGTGATCAACGAAGTAATATTCAAGAAAGTGGAAACTAAAAAGATACTTGTGTCAGAAAAAGACAACTGGAATTTTATAGACAAAAAAATAATGTAGGAGGACTTAGAAAATTTAACACTCACAGGTCATATCAAAAACAAAAGGGACAACAATGGCAGAGGGATGGGAGGGTTGACAAAAAGAGAGACGTTACTAAGAGTAACAGAATAGGAAGTTGTGGAAAGCCGTGATCTCGCATGTTCTGAAAGGACACGGCACATGGAAGATACAGTTATTCAGACAGAAAGTTAATAATCCCAAAGTTTTATTGCAATAAATTGATTTTTAACCGTCTCTACAGCCTTTAGTTTTTCAAAAAAAAATTTGCTGTGAATATTTTCCCGCCTCTTTTTTTTTTTTTTTTTGCCTGGCATTTCCTTGTAAGATAATGATTTTATTACTCATAAAATATCGCTATTCTTCTTTGTTACACACTTTCTTTTTTCAAGGAGTTAATTTGAACAAGAGACTAGATGTATTTATTCCAATTTGTCTAAGTTGAACAAAGAGCCAGACTGCTTTACTTAAAATCAGCTTACCACCTTCAAGAATGTGATTGAAGCGACCTCCACATACATTCCTATTAGATACTAGAAAGGTAAAATGTCCTTAAATGCTCTCCCACCCAAAGCATTAATTTAATTTGTTTCTGTCTTTTTCCGAGCGTCAGTTACTAGTGGTTATTTTATGCAAGTGTACCCAAATAAGGTTAAATAAGCACGACCTTTTCAGCCTCCATATTCACGACATGTTTACTTGGATCCGTTCAGTCGGACTGTATGGGCAATTGTTCCTTTGATCACATCATTCATGACCCTCTTTGGTCAGGCTACTATTAGATATATACTAAATTATGATCCTTTTCAAATTAATTCGATGAAATCATCGTGAACTTTTTCTGTATCTTCAAATTACTAGAACCACTAGAGCAAATCAAATCTGATGGTGACTTATCTGTGTTTCTTTTAGACGCTCTTTTCCATTTGCCTCTTTCTAAATAATAATTTATAGCATTCACTTCTTTATACTTCCTATTTTAACAAATCTCTATCTTTTTTTTCTTTTTTTTTTTTTGGCCCCTTTCTTTATTTTCTCTTGTCTTTACTTGTATTTCTCTCTTTGTTTCTCGCGTTTTAATTTGTTTATATCTCTTCATTTCTCTCTCTCTCTCTCTCTCTCTCTCTCTCTCTCTATCTCTCTCTCTCTCTCTTTTCTCTCCGTCTTCCGTCTCTCTCTTGCCTCTTCAATCTTTCTCTCCGTTCTTCGTTTTCGTGATATATAAATTCTGGTCTCTTTAGACTGTTTGCGAAAGAATGCCAATAGAAAGAAACCCGACTTTTTTAAAAGAATCATCGCATTCGTATGCATATCGGCCACTTGAGAGCACATGAAACGAAGTTAGTTCATATCAAAATCTTGTGCGGTGGGATTTCCAAAATTCTTCAAACATTGAACAAAGGGTTTTTGTACTTGACTTGGAATCATGACACTTATTAAAAAAATAACAGAGCAACAACTTCAAAACAAAACCGTTTTTTAAAAGAATTGGCTAAGACTCAACTATAAGACAGCCTATCTGCCTTTATATTTTCCAAGCTGAGTTTCTTAAAAACAAGGCCAACTTGGTTGAGAATCTGAGGAGAGAGAATGCCTTGCCCTAATCCTCTAAATGTGTATGAGGGAGGGGGCTGATTGCGTACCTAACATTACACTATTTTAACATCACACTATTTTATCATAGACATACAATGACAAGCAAAACAAAACAGTTTGTTATATGTTTATACTTATTTCAATTAAATAAGCTAAAGTTATTCTAAATGTAAAAGTCACAAATTTCTTAAGCTTGTTCAAGTAACAAATTACTGTAATTTGAAAATAAAAATGAAAAATTCGTTCCAAGTTGAATTGTGACAACTTAAACAGGCTTCCAGTTCTGGTTGTGAGTTGAACTATGAATTGATCTTCAATAATTAACGCCAAGGTAATTCTGACTACAAAAATATACATATATGTATGTGTGTGTGTATGTGTGTGTGTATGTGTGTGTGTGTGTGTGTGTGTGTGTAAGAATTAAGTAATTCATCGAGTCTAGAAGAAACGTCAAACCATTACGATATTAGACGAACATCATACCAGCTGTACCACCAACGGGCCTCGGTGACGAATAGGTAACGAATTAGACTCGATATATATATATATATATATATATATATATATATATATATATATATATATATATATACTTGTATTTGACACAGACGCTGCATTTTATATTTTTACATTAAATAGTGTGTGTTATTAGGTATATCAATCTGCCTATTCGTGAAATCTCAATAGAAATGCGTTCTGTCAGGAATCAACCCATGTCCCTCTTTTTTACTTTAAACATTATTATGAGGCGTCTATTTCGAATAATAGTAACCGCTATTAATAACGTTTGAAGTATATATATATATATATATATATATATATATATATATATATATATATATATATAGGGTGTATCAAGAATACTTTTACAAATATTGGAGGAGGGTTCCTTACACAAAAACAAGGATAAAAGTCGATGTAAAGTCCATGAAAGATGGATAGATAGGGGAAGACCTTTTCCATAGACTGCACGTTCTTCTGAAGTAAATCCTTTTGATTTTGCTGTAGGGCTACCTAAAAAAATGGTTTATTCAGCAGTTATTAATAATGCAGAGATACTTCATCAACGTGTTACGGGGGCATGTGAATCCATTCGACACCGTGTGGGAGTATTTGAAAAGGTCTGCCAGTCAAGGATCCGACGGGTGCATGCCTATGTAGAAGCAAGCTGAGGACATATTGAATATTTGTTATGAATTGTTGTATTGAGGTACAACAATAAAAGTTTGTAAAAATATTTTGATACTCTCTCTCTCTCTCTCTCTCTATATATATATATATATATATATATATATATATATATATATATATATATTGTGTATTTAGGCTGCATTGATGCATGTTTCATTAAATAATATAGACAAGTTTTGTCTATTTATTTTATGTAAATTCTTTTCATATCGTCTGATAAGCTTAATAACATTATCATTAAAAGAAAAAATGGAAATAATATTGATACATATTTTTGAATCCTATCTAAGCTTTCGGGTTACATAAGCCATGATCAAAGATGACAATTACATTACAATATATTAACCAATACACGGACAAAACAATAATGATAGTCTGTTTTTGTTTGCATGGAAGGTATTTAAGCAACGACAAACTCATAAATACGAGACGCTGGAATCGAAAATCGCACCGCAGCTCATGACGTCATACATGACTACCCGAGAGTGAAAACGAAATGTATTAAGTATTGGTTAATATATTGTAATGTAATTGTCATCTTTGCTAATTTTACAAGAGAAAACACCATCTGGTCCGGTGTACTTTTGATTTCTCAGCTACAAAGAGCTTCACAGTTTTCTCGAACACCATATCTGCTTAGTTTTGCATCCGTAACGTAAACAAAGCAATTTCTAAAGAATTAATGGATTTAATTTTTGAAACTGACATATTTTCATTACTTCAAACGTTATTTTTAATGGATACCCGTAATTGAATAGAGGCTTTTTTTTTTGTTTAAACAGTGTTTTTTTTTTTTTTTTCTACGGACATTGCACACTCGAGAAAATCTACTTTCCGGTACGACTTGAACCCGTGTCTCACTTTGCAGGAGAAAAATTTATCCAATAAAAAAAACAATTGAAGTAATAAAAATATTACAGATTAAAAAAATAAAATACCTTAATTCTATACACACACAATATGAACTATTAATTATTTAATTGAAATTTAATTCAATAAAAATACATAGTAAATTTGAATTTCTTGAATAGGCCGCTCAATGTCCTTTCAACTAGAGTCACAGAGTTATGTTTTTGAATCTTACGGCAAAACGTATCAAAGTTGCACGTTAATAAACTGATCATCCCACGGCACCTTTTCCATAAGATCCCCAAAACGTAATATTTACATTGCAAATATATACCGGATGTAACAGCAAACTTGTACAAATCGTGTGACAGCAACGGCCCGATTGTCCGTCCCACAAAATGTTTAACATCTAAAAAAGCATTGAGTTTTTTTTCCTCAGATTTTCAGATAAGACGTTTAGCCATCTTGACACCATTTGTGGTAAGAATCACTGAAAAATCCACTGATTTCTTCAGCTAGAAGTAGAACGGGTTTAAATTGTTTTATGTCAGCCCCACTATGTCTTCCCAACTGAGCAATGGTGGGAGGAAAATACCACTCAGGCCTTTAGTAATGGTACCAACAATGATACATTTACTTCGATCTTCAAGTCCATTCATGAACCATCAAGATAACGGTGAATAAGTTTAAAAAAGATGGAACAGTAGAAAGAAAAACTGGATCGGGAAATCACAACAGGAAGAGGGATCATTATTTCAACTTAGATCTAAAGAGATCAATTAGAAAAGATCCAACTCAATTCTTAAGACGTTTGGCCCTTGAGAAAGGAGTTTCACCTATGACAGTCGAAAGAGCAGTGAAAAAATATTTGAAAATGAAATCGTACATGAAACCTGTCAGGTATCTTGTTACTCCAGGACAGAAAGTTAGAAGGTTAGACAGGGCAAAGATAATCTTGAATAAGTTGGAAAATTATCCTGAAATAATACATACATATATATATATATATATATATATATATATATATATATATTGTCATCCACAGACAGACTGTTTCGCTGTATCACAGCAATTCAGGGTGGCTAGACGTCCGATCGAAACCCGACCGATTTGGCGTTAGTCAGAGATCCAACCCTAGGCTATCGTCGCACCGCAGAGAGAAAGGGAAATTCTAACGGTTTCTACACGAAATACGCCAGTGAACCGGAGAGCTCAATTCAGTTGAAGGACAATGCGTTAATAGCGGGGGGGGGTAGGAGGCACTGTTTTTAAAAGTGTCCTATATGTATATTCATTTTATTTCAATATTTCATAACCCTTAGCTACGATTAATTAATGATGAACATGTCAGTTTCGTTTATGATCCATTTCATAACGATTTTCCTGTTAAGCTTGGAGAATAATTATACATTGTCATTGCTCAGAGCCCAACAGCGTTATAAAAACCTCGGAGAATTCCAGTAAGATATCTTTAATCATTTCTAATATACAACTGTTCAGAGCTTAATCTAACAATTGGACAATTTTGCTGTTACACGATTTGGTCAATTTTGCTGTTACACCCGGTATAGCACCTTTGAATGATCTATTATAACAGAGCTAACATTTATATTTCGAATAAATATACATTTTGTCCCCGACTAGTAGTTTTCAATTAGTACCTGACGAATGCATTGTGCATAGGAGCAGACGAATTTTACAAACACAACAAGATCAATCCACCTTTTTAGATCTTGTGATATTTCGTGCCATACTCAGGTAAACTCCGTGCAGCTGTACAACTAAAGAATGTTTGCAAATAATTTCCACATATTACTCAAGCAGCACCAAACTTGTCCCGTCCTGGGTATGACGATAAACTACATCCGCGTCCTGGGTAAGACGTTAAACTACGTCCAGCAGCAAGGCCTCTGATCAGGAAGTTTTGAGGGGCGTGAAATCACACCTCTTAATTGCTGGTGTTCCCAGGTCCACCCTGACCCGGGGTGGTAGCACCTATTAGGGTCCCAACTATGGGCAAATAGTTAACCCCAAAACTGGGGTCAAAACACTATGAAAGTGTAAAAATAGGTTTTAATACCAGAAATACTTTGTAAAATGATTATTTACAGCAATACATTTTTTTTTAAAAAGATATTACCAGCTATCCTTTTTTGAAAAAAGGAATTACAAGCGATACATTTTTGAAGGAAAAAAATATTACCAGAAATAGATTTCGGAAAAAATATTATCAGCAATGAAAATCTTGTCGGTATTAAATAACCCATTGAGGTTCACATGCCGTAAACCAAACCAAACCAAACTAAACTAGTCGTAAAGGAACGAAGGCTTCGGAACATGTTTTGTTCGTCTTTTAATTCCTCTTAATATTTTCGAATAACCGGCATCAAATGATGTTAAGAATGTTGCTCTCCTTTAGGCAGGTCAAAAACGAAATTTACAGAAATCTCATTATGGCCGAAAAATTCTCGAAGAGATTGAGGCCAAGAAAAATCTCCTGCTCAAGCGCATTTGTGTTTGTTCAACGCCCACAGAGCCCGTTGAGTAATAAGTAATTTCCATTTTAGGCAACCATTTG